TTGAGATTGACACCCACTCAGCTTAGATGGAGACCATTTCAAATTGCTTAGTGTGAAGTGCACCTAATAGCAGCCAGAAGATGACAACTGAGTGTTGCGTGGTTGTTTTCTTGCCTATAGTGTGATAAGTTACTCAGAAGCTTTTTTTTTCCTCTTTAGACCAAAGCCTGCACCTCTAACGCCTGAGTTACTCAAAAAGGTTTCAAGCTTGCCAGAATCCTGGGACTGGAGAAATGTGAATGGTGTCAATTATGTCAGCCCGGTTCGGAATCAAGGTAAAAGAAAAATAAGGATAACTCTGCATGAAATGCTCTAGAGATCCTGTGATGCACTTTGTAATTTGCTGTTAACAAGAAGGTTTTATCTAGTGTCTTGCAGTTGACAGATTGCATCTTTACAGTAAATAACCTGCAGAAACTGGGGGTAGACTCCTGGCTGTGGAGTCCAGCAGCTGTTTGAAACAACACTGCCAAAATAGAGGGTGGTACTGGCTTATCCAAACAGCAGTGACCTTTGCTGGAATGAAAGCCAGTTACCACAGTGCCCTGCATAAAGAGAGCTGTCAGGTTTTGTCCAAACTGTCTCAGTCATGGTTTTCTGCACACTGACAGAGCTGATGTACATTTAATTCTTTCCCTAAATGGCAAATTAACATGCAGCTTTAATGAAGAAAGCCATGCAAATTGTTTATACCGCCTCCAACTCTTACCACTTCAGTAACTTTTGGAGTTACTTAAATGGCTAGTTGCAAGAGGTGCCAGTCACTATTAAAAGCATGGACACTGATAAATATATACTTGTTAAAACATATTTTTCTTTGCCCTTGTGATAGCCAAGTATGTAGCTCAAAGCAGACTTGTAAGGTTGTTAATCTGATATATGTTTATTCTATAGAGAGTGCTATTATAGCACTGTAAGATACCTGAATTAGGCCAGGAATGGACTTGGTTAATGTATCCCTTCCTTGCTCCAGCATTTCCAAATAAATTTGCACCTCCTGGTAGCTGGTTGCAGCTGTGACAGGAAGAGAACACAAAATTAGCATCAAGTGGAGGGGACCTCTTAAATCACTGGTCCCTCAATTATGGCTTCGTTCTTCTGTTAAATTCTGTCAGGTGGACTCCTGGTAGCAGAAGCAGTGTAGGGAGGGTTGTGGGGGTTCGAGCTCACAACCTGACTCGCAGCATCACTAAAAAATGGCAACAGGAAATGATACAATGCTATATAGGTATTAGTTCTGTACTTTCTCCTGGTGTGAACCGTAAATGCCCCAGGGCTTTTTTACCTTCCCAAACTTGGTCCCAAACTTACCCTTTCTCCATTGTGTTCCTTCAAGGTTCCTCTAAATAAGAATTATTCGGCTGCTTTCGATAATAATGCTGCCTCCACTTTTCCTGTAATCTGAGAATCCATGCTGAGTGTGTTAAATATCTGTGCAATATGCATCCTGCTTCATTAAATAAGAACTTCAGTTTTCAGGCTTTCAAAAAAAAATACTACGAATAAAAAAACACCACAAAAAAAGTAATAATAATTAATAAAAAAACCATAACCCAAAACCTCCAAAAGACGACCTGATGCAAAAAGTTCCAATATACAAATTACATCTTGCATATGGTAGCTCGTATGATTTTTCTGAGGCACTGGATATCAATGCTTCATTAAAATGATGATATTGGAAAGTCTTAATTGTGTGTGTATAGTTAAGGTTATTAGATGACTAATTAGAAAATGCCATGAGGGAGAAGGCTGCAAACAGTAAGATAGCAGTTGTCTGACACTTGTAGAGACAATTGTATGAATTACAGAATCATGGAGGAAAAAAGCATCTGAAGTAGACAGGAATTAAAAGGGAAATGAGCATTCTTTGCAGAATACTTTGAGACATAACAGGCTTCACACAACTGCAGTTGTTTTGGACTGTAATATTTACTGCTAGCACCCCTACAAGTATTTTCTATAGTCAAGAAGGTAAAGGTTGATTCCTCAGGATGTTTACAGAGCACTAATTGCATCTCTGAGCCTAGAGATGTCATCTTTGAAGATAGCCATGTTGTAGCTTGTTACCAGCTTTACTGGGCGAAGAAGAGGTCGACCTACAGATTTCACTGCACTAGGGTGCAGTTCCAGTTTCTTGTGACCTCTCTCTGCTGTTTAAAGTAAATGAAAGGCCTGGTCAGCTCACTCTTCGCTAGGTGTGCTCTGTCACAGAACATGTTGTGTTGGAAAGGACCTTTAAAGCTCATCCAGTCCAACCCCTGCACTCAGCAGGGACATTGGTACCAGATCAGGTTGGTCACAGCCCCATCAAGCCTGTCCTTGAATATCTCCAGGGTTGGGGCCTCCACCACCTCTCTGGGCAACCTGTGCCACTGATCTACCTCATGGTGAAGAGCTTTTTCCTCATATCCAACCTAAATCTACCCTTTTCTAGTTTAAATTCATTCCCCTTCATTGTATCACTCCATGCCCTAGTGAACGTCTCTTCCCCAGATTTCTTATAGGCACCTTTCAAGTCCTGGAAGGTTGCTATAAGATCCCCCCACAGCCTTCTCTTCTCCAGGCTGAACAACCCCAACTCTCTCAGCCTGTCTTCATAGCAGGGGTGCTCCAGCCCCTGGTCATCTTTGTGGTCTCCTCTGGACCTGCTCCAGCACTTCAATGTCTTTTTTGTGTTGGGGACTCCAAAGCTGGATGCAGCACTGCAGGTGAAGTCTCACCAGAGTAGAGCAGAGGGGCAGAATCCCCTCCCTGGCCCTGCTGGCCACACTTTTTGTGATGCAGCCCAGGATGGGGTTGGTTTCTGGGCTGCAAGTGCACATTGGTCGCTCATGTCCAGCTTCTCATCCACCAGTACCCCTAAGTCCTTTTCCTCAGGGCTGCTTTCCAGCACATCATGTCTCAGCCTCTATTGTTAATGAGGATTGTCCTGACCCAGGTGCAGGACCTTGCACTTGGCCTTGTTGAACCTCATGAGGTTCTCCTGGGCCCACTTCTCCAGCTTGTTCAGGTCCCTCTGGGTGCCATCCCTTCTCTCTGGCACATTGACCTCACCACCCAGCTTGGTATCTTCCTTACTCCTCATAATCACAGAATCATATCACGGAATGATTTGGGTTGGAAGATCATCTACTGTAATAACCCTTTGCAGTAGAGTGAGTGGATTTTGATGTGGCTGAGGCTTTAATTTGCTCTAGAAGAAAATCTGTGGAAAATCTCTCTACTCTTTCAGCTGTGTTGGCTTTCTGCTGATACAGTTTGATTGTCCTGCTGCGGGCCTTACAAATACCACTGTAGTAGCAGGAAAGACATTTTGCAACCACTCCAGCAGACTTCGGGCTGGAATTGGTTGCATTAACTGTATTTTTTTACACTTTTGCTCACAAAATCCTACAAAGTCTTTGCAGCATGGCCCATCATGGATTCTGTGACTATACAATGAGTGCGAGCCACATTTTATCGCCTCAGTTTACCTTGCTGGGCAAGGAGTGTTTGTTTTCAGACTGATTTTGCTCATTCTCTTCAGAGGTACGTGTAACTGAGAGAAGGTGCAATTTCACTAAGTCTTGCTTTTGTAATAGCTCTGCTTTTATACACCTACACAGCTCAGGAGAAAGTATTTTGTTTTGTTCCTCAAGCCTCCCTCCTTGCCATAGCCCTGCAATATTTGGCTTTTCCTACTGTCAGGAATCAAAAGGAAATCAGGCACCTTTGGTCACAATTGGTAGATAAAATAGGATCTCATCCAAGTAATTGACCTTCTCTGTGTTGCTTGTCATTCCATTTCCAAAGGATTTTAATGTGTTACAGGAAGCTCCTAGGGAGTGAAGAGGCTTACATCTAGAAGCAATGCTTAATTTTGATGCAAAAGTAAGGAGACTCCCCTCTCTGCCAGGAAACAGAAGGGAAATTAAGGTGCCTCTGAAAAGCCAGTGTAAAAATTACATGGCCGTGGGAAGTAAGGGAAGCTGGGCTGAATCTGCTCTGTCAAGTGTGCTATTTATACCACTAAAATCCAAAAAGTCAATTATTTTAGGGGTAGCTCTAGAGGTAGAATGTTTTTTAAACTGGAAATTCCAGCATTAAATGCATTGATAGCTTGAAATAATCTAGAACGGTATTGCCAGCATTCACTGAAAACAGTTCATTTCCGTTAGTATATGTGCTCCATGAAGTGTTGTAGTCTAAGGCAGCCGTGGTTTGGTCCCTGGAGGTTCATTCTGAAGAACAGCATAGCTCTTAAATGGTATTACTGGAAAACACTGAAGAGAGAGAGAGAGAGAGAGAGATTTATATATATTTTTATTTTCTAAATTATATCTATTATATATATGTTCTATATATTAATTATATTTAATATGTTTTAAATAATACAGATAAATTTTATATATATTATATATATTACATATATAAATATAAGATCATTACTCTTGAGTAAGCTCAGTGTTCCTTCAGAAGTTGTTAAAATTGTTTTTGTTACTTGCATCATTAAAAGCTAAATGCATATTTAAAGTTTTTTTCTCTATCAGTCTTCAGCTTCTAATAACTGCCTGGTAGGTGTTGACTTTTTTCAGTGAACTTTAGCAATAGTTGTACCTGAATACAGCTGACTCGCCTTGTTTGATGTCATTGACTGCTCTTCATGGTTCTTTTTTCTCCTCCCTCAGCCTCTTGTGGCAGCTGTTACGCATTTTCCTCCATGGGAATGTTGGAAGCAAGGATACGTCTCCTGACGAACAACACCCAGAAACCCATCTTTAGTCCCCAGCAGGTTGTGTCTTGCAGCCAGTATTCTCAGGGTAAGTACACTGGTGTATATGGGTATATCTTTCTGTAATAATAATGCTGCAGAAGGAGAATCTGTGTTAAAAACTTCTGTGCATTCTCCGTCACCCATGATTTAGTTTCTTCACAGAATCACAGAATATTAGGTGTTGGAAGGGACCTCGAAATATCATCCAGTCCAAGCCCTGTGCTTGAGCAGGATCACCTACACTGGGTCACAAAAAGTAAATAAATACTTCATAAAGTATCTGACAGGCTATACCTTATAGTACTACTTTCATTTATTTTTTTTTTTCCCCCTGAAAGATTGCAGAAAATATTCCAGAGTTGTCAGCCCACCTTACTGGAGGACCACATGCTCAGGGTGTTATTGCATTTTAGGTAGATGCACCTGGGAGATCATAGAACCACAGCATGGTTTGGGTTGGAAGGGACATCAAAACCCCCCCAGTCCAGCCCCCCATGGGCAGGGACACCTCCACCAGCCCAGGCTGCTCCAAGCCTTGTCCAACCTGGCCTTGGGCACTGACAGGGAGGGGGCATCCACCGCTTCTCTGGGCAACCGCTTCTCTGGGCAACCTGGGCCAGGGCCTAACCACCTCACAGGGAAGGATTTCTTCCTAATATCCAGTCTAAATCTCCCCTCTTCCAGTTTAAAACTGTTCCTCCTTGTTCTATCTCTGCCCTTGTAAAAAGTCCCTCCCCAGCTTTTCTGTAGCTTCAGAAACTGGAAGACTGCAGTAAGGTTCCCCCGGAGCCTTCTTTTCTCCAGGCTGAACAACCCCAATTCTTTCAGTCGGTCCTCTTAGGGGAGGTGCTCCAGTCCCTGATCATCTCTGTAGCCTCCTCTGGTCCCATTCCAACAGCTTGATGGCCTTTTTGTGTTGGAGGCCCCAGAACTGGACACGGCACTGCCAGTGGGGTCTGACCAGAGCAGAGCAGAGGGTCAGAATCCTCTCCCTGGCCCTGCTGGCCACACTTCTTGTGATGCAGCCCAGGATGGGGTTGGTTTCTGGGCTGCAAGTGCACATTGCCTGCTCACATTGAGTTTTTCATCGCCCAATACCCCCAAGTCCTTCTTGTCAGGACTGCATTTGAACCATTCTCTGCCCAGCCTGTGTTTGTGCTTGGGATTGCCCCTACCCAGGTGCAGGACTTTGTACTTGGCCTTGTTGAACTCCATGAGGTTGGCATGGGCCCAGCTCTCCAGCCTGTCCAGCCCCTTCTGGAGATGGAGAATGTCAAAGGAGTAGGACTATACAGCTAAATTGCAATGCATGCCTACAAAGAGTGGAACAATATATCCTCCCAAATGCATATACAGAGGGAAGAGGAGCATATGGGGAGTGAGTGATAAGCAAAAGGACTGACTAAAGCTTTCTCAAGGACAGGCCTCATGTTAGGACAGATCTTTTGGCAGTATGTAACTAACTGCTCTTCCTGATGAGCAGTTGATGTGGTTTAAGGCCAGTGGGCAACCTGCACCATGATGATGTTTTGTGGACCGAGAGAGAAGGACCAGGAGGGTTTTTTCGCTCACCGCTTATGGTCATGGACAAAAGACAGACTCATCTTGGGAAGGAAAAACCAAACAATTTAATTTGTTACCAGTACCATCAGGATCAAAATAGTGAGAGATACAACCAGATCTTAAACACCTTTCCCCACCTCTCCCTTCTTCCTGGGTTCAGCTTTGTTCTTGGTTTCTTTATCTCTCCCTCTTTGTCCTGCAGCACAAGGGGAATGGGGTTGCAGTCAGTTCATTCCATGTGGTCTCTGCCACTCCTTTCTCTTCAGGAAGGTAGGGGAGACTCCTCCTACTCTTCCTCTGCTTCCACGTAGCTCCCTTCCCACAAGAGAAACGTTCTCCATGAAAATGTATGTGTGTCTGCCCACAGCTGCAGGTATTTTTTTCCTCATGAACTGCTCTGGTGTAGGCTTGTTTGAGATGGGCTCGAAATTGGAGCCAGGGCAGCTTCTAGCAGCTTCTTACGAGGTTATCTCCATAGCCCTCCCCTACTACCAAAAAAGCCCTCACAGAAAATCCAATGCAGGAGTTGTCAGGAGCAGTTGGCTGAGAAGGTGGTCCATTCATTGGTGTTCCCAGTGTAGTTCCCAGTGATGTGAATTTTGTCTTGTCTGTTGCAGAAAGCTAGCTGAAATACTAGGATTATGTGGGGTCACTGCAGTTTGTATTCAATACTACATCTAAATGTATTTGAGTATGAGAGTCTCCCACTTCAAATAACTCTCCAAGAGAATAAGCAGACCTTTTTTTTTTTTAATTATTATTTTTATTTTTCAGGTTGTGATGGTGGCTTCCCATACCTTATTGCTGGCAAGTATGTCCAAGACTTCGGTGTGGTGGAGGAGGACTGCTTCCCTTACACAGCCCAAGATTCTCCGTGCAATTTCAAGCGTAGCTGCTACCACTACTATACCTCTGAGTACCACTACGTTGGTGGTTTCTATGGAGGCTGCAATGAAGCCCTGATGAAACTCGAGCTTGTTCTGCATGGCCCGATGGCTGTTGCCTTTGAGGTTTATAACGATTTCATGCTTTATAAAGAGGGAATCTACCATCACACCGGGCTGCGGGATGACTTCAACCCTTTTGAGTTGACCAATCACGCTGTCTTGCTGGTGGGCTATGGTACAGACCCACAAAGCGGGGAGAAGTTCTGGATTGTGAAGAACAGCTGGGGCACCTCGTGGGGAGAAGACGGCTACTTCCGAATCCGCCGCGGCACCGACGAATGCGCCATCGAAAGCATTGCAGTGGCTGCGACTCCTATTCCAAAACTATAAACGCATAGGTCTTCGAGTGCCTTGTTCCCAGCCATGAGACCATATTGATTGATAGAGACTGCAGCTAACATCCATCCCCGAGCTTGAACGGGGGAGTTTTAATGAAATTTTCCAGAATAGAGCAGTTTCTGTAGGTGAGAGGATGAAAGCTGCTGGTTCTGTTCTGTGCACTGAAGGCTTCCTCTCGAGTCTGACAGTGCATCACCTAAAAAGCAATGGTAACTTTGGTTGCAGTGCTGATAGTTCGTCACTGGATACACATCTTCAGTCACCGGTGACATTATTTCCTGTGGACAATCTTGAATTTCAGATCTTGGAGGGAAGCGTCTGCTCTGATAATCTGTAACTGCGCTGAGAGGCCATTTAGTACCTTACTTCTCAGAAATCAGGAAGTTGCTGCAATTTAGAACATAAGTGTGTGTTGGGAGGGAATGGGCAGTTACACTGATTAAAAGGAAATTTTTAAAGCTTTAAGTGTCCTGCAAAAACTGCATGTCAAGCCCTTATGACAATAGAAATCAATTCTACGTTTCAGGCTGTTACCAGATGTTCCAGTTCTGGATTTTATTGCTGTGCTTTGCAATTGATCATCTCAATTTAATAAAAATTACCTGCTCCTATAGGAGTTTGAACTTGTGGAAGTAGTTGGGTCTTTATTTCAGTAACCTGTCTAAGTTTTGAACTTCCTGTCAAGAACTTTTTACTTTGAGGAGGATCTGAACTGGTGGGGAAGGAGGATGAGAGGAAGTAGAAATCAAGATTCTCACAGCAGCATCAAACAAGGTTACCCAGGAGTTTAGTAGCTCTTGCTGGTGAGTAAATTGTCTTAATTCCCCAGTAATCTGTTGCTCTATTCCTTTCAAATATACAAGGTAGAAAAACAAGGAGTTGAGGAAGGGATTGCAACACTTGGAATTAACAATTTACCATTTATTTCTAGGTGAAACTCAACTGTGATGCAGTACTTGGTTAATGCTTGGTCTTCACTGTTTTTCAAGTGAGTAAATGGGAATGATTTAGGGCCCCAGCCCAGTTGCATAGGTAGAAGATCACTTTTTTTGGTGATCTGTTAAATAATATGTGACCAAAGTAGTTAATGTTATATATAAAATACAATTTATTTATTTGTGTTTTAGGTTGTAGGGAAAATGATACAGAAAAATGGAGTGGTTGTCAGTAATCAAAATAATCCTATTTAATTTAGAAGGGAAGGCTCCTGTTTATGACTCTTGTTTGCTCAAATTGAGGGGCAGGAGAATGGTAGCTTCATGGTTTTGTCATTCTTTTGAACTCCCTGCCAAATAATATCAAGCCACGCTGGAAGTTTTAGAACTTGTATTTTGCCAGACTTAGAACAAGAACCTCTGGAACAGTTTATATTATGCATTGGATTGTTTTAGCTCAGGGAATATGGGATAATTTGGTGTTGCTGCAAAACTGAGAGTCCCATGAGTACTTAATCCCTTGGTATCAAGCACAATACATCATGAAGACCTACTTTTTCTCTTGCACTTCTTCATTTCTACCCCTTTTTTCCTCCCATAACTCTTCTTGGGGAAAATTTTATTGGGATGGATCAAGCTTTTCCCAACAGTGTGTGCATGATTTGTGTCTGCTGTGTTTTCAGGTATAATAACAATATGATGGTAAATAATGCCCAGTAAGTCACCCACTACCCTTTTTCCAGGCATAGATTTGAATTCTAGTGGCTTATAAATTTGTAAAGGGTGAGTGTCAGGAGGAAGGAGCCAGGCTCTTATCTCTGATGTCCTATGACAGAACAAGGGACAATGGGTGCAGGCTGGAACATAAGAGGTTCCATGTGAACATGAGGAAAAACTTTTTTACTGTGAGGGTTACAGAGCACTGGAACAGGCTGCCCAGGGAGGCTGTGGAGTCTCCTTCTCTGGAGACATTCAAAACCCACCTGGACGCGTTCCTGTGTGACCTGGTCTGGGTGATCCTGCTCTGGCAGGGGGGTTGGACTGGATGATCTTTTGAGGTCCCTTCCAACTCCTGAGATTCTGTGAAAACTACAGCTAAGAATTGCTTGAAGCAACCAAGGACGGAAAAAATTGCTGCCTCCACTTTCATTTTGGAAGAGCAGACAGTGCAATGCCAGCATCAAGCCTCCTCCTATGCTGATGTTACAGCTCCATGGCTTGACCTAACTGGGATGACAGCTTCTTTATTCATAAGCAGCCCATGCTGGTACCAGTAAAAACTCTCATGAGGTACAGAAGTCATAGAATCACAGGATGTGTTGGAAGGGACCTTACAGCTGATCCAGTCCAATCCCTGCACTCAGCAGGTACACTGGTACCAGATCAGGTTGCTCACAGCCCCATCAAGCCTGACCTTGAGTATCTCCAGGGATGGGGCCTGCACCACCTCTCTAGGCAACCTGTGCCACTGATCTGCCACCCTCATGGTGAAGAACTTTTTCCTCATATCCAACGTAAATGTACCCTTTTCCAGTTTAAAACCATTCCCCCTTGTTCTATCACTACATGCTCTAGTGAACAGCTCTTCCCCAGATTTCTTATAGGAACCTTTCAGGTCCTGGAAGGTTGCTATAAGGTCCCCCCCAGAGCCTTCTCCAGACTCATGTAAGTGATCTGCAGCCTTGTCCTTGGTTCCACTGCACAGATGCATTCAGAATATCCCCTGCATTGGGAAGTACTGGTTCTGAATAAGCAGGTATTTTCCTGAAATTATAGCTATAGTTATGGCAGTTATTCTAAATTATGCTGCTGACACTCATGACACTTCAAATCCAAAATATTTGCTATTCACCATTCCTGGTATTGTGTTAGCTACATGCATTTTGAAAGAGATTGTGTGTTATTTTCTTAGAAATTCCTGTGTCTGTCACACAACCAGTGACAGCTGCGCTGGTGAGGATGGGGGTGTCCTTGGAGTTGTCTGTCACCATTGCTGCCCCCAGCGGCTGTCACCAGGTGTCCTTGTTTGCCTCTGGCTGGCGGCGGTAATGTGAATTTCCCCGTTTTCTGTATTTCAGAGTTGTGTAGAGAAATGTCAGAGCTAGCATGTGGCCAATGGAACATATTTGGATTCTCAACTTTTATTTAGGATTTTCAGCCAAGTACAGAAAGTACATTCAGGAGCCATGGGCTGAAGACCAGCCAGAGCATTTCCTTCATGCAGACCAAAAAACTGCAAGAATTGGTAAACCCTAAGTGAGGAGGTGCCGCTCCACTGGAAATAAGCTACTGCCTGCAGAACAGATAAAAGGGAGAGATGCGAGTCTCTGCAACTTCTATTTGTCTTTTCAAAAGAGGCTATAGTTTGTTTTTATGTATTCTACCATAAGTGTGTTGCCTCAGGTACCTTAAACTGGGAAACAAGCTATCGCTCAGGAGAATAATTACAGGGTTGGCAAATACACCTTTCAGTGAGCAAGTGAGAGCCCAAAGTATTTAATTTATCAAGGAAGGTTAATAGATGATCCAAGCCATCCTGGCTTGTATCAGCCATGGAGTGGCCAGCAGGAGCAGGGCAGGGATCTTTCCGAGGTGCTGGGTACTGGTGAGCCTGCCCCTCAAATCCTGTGTTCAGTTTTGGGCCCCCAACTCCCAGAAGGACATTGAGGGGCTGGAGCGTGACCAGAGAAGGGCAAGGGAGCTGGGGAGGGGTCAGGAGCACACGAATGGTGGGGAACAGCTGAAGGAGCTGGAGGGTTCAGCTGGAGATAGAGGAGGTGAGGGGAGACCTTATCCCCTCTCCAGCTCCTGAAAGGAGGGGATAGCGAGATGGGTGTTGGTCTCTTCTCCCATGTAACCAGTGACAGGACAAGAGGAAATGGCCTGAAGTTGCACCAGGGGAGGTTTAGATTGGACATGAGGAAAAATTTCTTTTAGTGAAAGAGTGGTGAAGCACTGGCAGAGGCTGCCCAGAGAGGTGGTGGAGTCCCCATCCCTGGAGGGGTTCAAGAAGCGCGTGGATGTGGCACCTGGGGACATGGTTTAGTGGGCATGGTGGGATTGAATTGATGGTTGGACTTGATGATCTTGGAGGTCTCTTCCAGCCTTAATTATTCTGTGATTCTGATGATAAGGTGATAGAGGAACTGTATAAACCATGACAGGCTCACACTGTTTGGCTGAAAGGCCATCTCACGTGATGAGAAGAAAGTGTTGGGCAATGCAGCTCGAGCAAGTTGGGGTTTCTCTGGTTGCTACATGCATGTGTGTAGAGAAGTTGAAGCCTTTCTACACGGGCTATAGAGAAACAGGTATGTGCATATGCAGAATTTTTCTGTATCTGTAAGAGGAAAGACACCGACATATCCTTCTGCCAGTTATTCCTAATTGCTTCATTTTGATGAGTTGACTAGATCCTGCAGATGATGTCCAGGCTGAATTAATCTCCCTCTCTCATGGTAACACCTCTCTAGGCTGATGGTTTAGCTATTTCTCCACATTTCTCTATTTGCACTTTAAGATGCATATGCGTGTTGATACTTGGAGTGATCCCTGGGACCTCTGACTTCCTTCATTAAATAAAGAATATTTTTAAGGGCTGATACCACTTTAGCGCTACAACAGGTGATAAATTTTGAGCACTGTCAGAAGCGCTAAAGATACTAGAAGTGATGTTTTTGCCTTAGGAGGATTTCAGGAGTTGGGATAACATCTTGCATTCTTAAATGTCTAGCAATCCTAGCCTTGATATTCTGTATGTAAGATGGGAGAATTTTCCAGAAACACTAACTGTACAGAATCCTTACGATTACATTTAATAAAGGAAAGAAGTACAATACATACCGCATTATTTCCTTCTAAAACTCATACATTGATAAGGCTGCTGAGGGTGTGAATTTTGTCCCCCAGTTGCGTTTCTGCCTCCTTTTCTGAAGCTCCCTATCAACCCCGGGATTATACGCACAGGTTTAAATTTCAGCAGAATAATAACTGCAGGAAACTGCATCCAGTTCTGTGTGTGTGGGGGAATCCATTATTATATTTTTTATATATTTACATTATTTAATATATATTTTA